GGCGCCATAGGAAGAGTGGGTCCAGCTTCCAGGCTGTTTGCGGTCGCCCAGTTTCGATGCAGGCGGGAGGACAGTGACGACAATGAGGACTGCCGCGATGAGGGGTCAAGACGTTCAAAAGACTGAGCTTCTGAATGGCTAGGCGATGAGCTTCGAGCAATGGGAGACATGTCTTTTAGGGCGTCAGGTTGATTGACTTGGCCGGAAGCACATGTAGTGCTGATTGCCAGGCTTGGGACGCCATGGGCATCGTCGTCTCCACCAACGAGTCTATCGATTGACCTCGCGCGGCTATGTTCTTTTGGGGGTTTCAATTTGTCTCTGCTTCTCATGCTGTTGACAACACGCCGTGGCAGACCACCAAATAGACCACCCAACTGTGAGCCGCCAGGTGTGTCTAGAGCCGTTGGGGTACCGGGTAGAGCTGGAGGAAATCCTGGAGATGCGGTTCGACCGGGAACCAGATCCGCTTGACGAATGGTGCTTATGGAAGAGATGGCGCGGTCTTGCATTGGCGGTCGCTGTTGGCTCTCCAGCATCTGGGCGGGTGATGCAGTACGAGAGTTGGGGCTGTCAAAGTATCTTGACCTTTCTCTCGCCTCCGGACTTGCTGTAACACTGTGAGAGAGCGGATGCTCAGCTTCACGCGAGCGAGTCAGAATCTCTAGGATAGCACCGGGTGCTAGACTGCCACGTCGGCCTTCGTAGGGCCGGGCGTCTTGACTGATGGTACTACTCGAAGAGTTTGCGCTGATGTTGGGGGGCGCGTCCTGGTTGGTAGCTGAGCTCTGCGCACGGCGCCTTGAACCTGAACTGCGAGTTGTGAAACCTTTGACAAACTCGGATGTCTTCTTAGCGGCTGAGCGGAGGCGGTCGACAAACCCGATAGGGACAACGGCCTCTTCGACATCCTCTTTGGAAATCTGAATCCTTCTTCCATCGTAGGATTTGCTCGGGTCTGTCTCTTCTGCCCATGAGATGTGGTTGGGAATGCCGGATAGCAGCCACGGGTGGCGCTTAATCTCCGGTATAGTGATGCGACGTCGCGCATCCTTGATCAGCAATCGTCGCAGCAGGTCGCGTAAATTTTCATCAACCTCTTCGTACTCGAGATCATGCGGTGCTCGCTTGGTGCTCGTCATTGGCTGACTGTTGCGTCCGTGTGAGTTGGGCCGCGAGTTTGACTGCTCAGCGACGGGTTTCAGCCGATATCTAGGGATGTAGGGCTCATCTTCGCTGATAACCTTCATCAGCGTGAACGTATTTGTGTCGTGAAACGGCACGCGCCCGTAGATGAGACAGTACAGCGTGACGCCGAGGGCCCAGATATCGATACCGCCGTCGATGAGAGGAGTCTCTGCGTCAATCTCTGTACGGCAGAGCTCGGGGGCGTAGAAGGCCGGGGTTCCCACAGTCTTCGCCAGCTCAATAGCTTCGTCAACCTCCTGGTAGTCCGACTCAGAGTGTTCGCCGTTGCTTTCATCAGTCTTTTGCCGTCCCAAGTACGACACACCAAAGTCAGATATCTTGATGCGATGCTCCCTGGTTACAAGAAGATTGGCAGGTTTGATGTCTCGATGGATGACGTTCTGATAGTGCAGGTATTCTATACCCAAGACAGTGTCCTTGAAGGCTTCCCAAGCTGCATGCATAGTCATCAGAGGGACGTAATTGAAGTGTTCAGGGATCTCTTCGCCAGAGTCTGTCACACGTGACGAGGAGCTGCCAGCAACGCTCGGTACGCGGCCTCGGATGAGCTCCGTGTCGTAAGGGCCGTACATGGTTCCCTCAAGCCCATCGGCCCAGGAGTTGTTTACCGGCTCAGGCGATCGGAAAGCGGTCTCCATGTGGTCTTCGTGGTGGCCTGCGACGTCTGATCGCTCGCGAAACTGGACGCGGCTGTGCGGACGCTCGTCTTCTAGATGGGATGCTTGCGAGCTACGTCCGTTATCGGAGCCCTCGTCTTCAGAGTCGGTTGCAAACTCCAAGCTCCAGGGTTGGTTGGAGGAGCCGTCTTTCCGACGTAGGTGAGCCTCTCTGGCCATGCGACGTTGCTGGCGGGCAAGCTTCTGGTGGGCGATGCGGATGATCCTTTCGTCTTCTAACGTTGCACTGTCATTGTCGAAGATGCCCTGGGACTCGCGCTTGAAGCGACGCCATTCGACGAGGCAGATCTCCCTGGCACCCTCAGTCCGCCACTTGACCTCGCCCAGCTCGACGTGCTCGAGTACGATATAGACCTTCTTCTTAGCTGGGTCATCTATAACCTCGAGCAAGCTGACGATGTTGGGGTGGCGCGCCTTTTTGAGGATGGCTATCTCGCGCTTGATCTTGTCTTCGTGGCTGTTGTTCTTGCCGAGGCGGCGACGTTTGGAGTAGCGGTCGACAATCTTGATGGCGACGTAGCGGCCGTGCACGAGGTCCTTGCCCAGCTTGACCTTGCCGTGAACGCCTCGGCCAAGCTCGTCGATGATCTCGTACTGGTTCACAATCTTGCGTCCCGAGACGGGGTCGGCCTGGACATCGGCAATGTGGGTCTCCTTGGGCGCCTGGCGGTGGGTATGGTGGAGCCAGGGCGTGGAATAGGTGCCGTCGTCGGGCTGGTCGGGCTCCTGGGAAGGGCGGCGGGTGGTGGGGTTGAAGAGGCCAGGGCTGCTCACCGGTGAGTTGCCAACAGTGCGTGGGGCCGACTCCATAATGTCCCTGTAGTGCTCGTGGGAGAGGCCGAAGGCGCCGAGGCTGGACAGCGAGTTGGCGGCCGAGTGGGAGGGGTGGGAGCTGCGGGAGCGTACGATGGGCGGGACATAGGGCTGGGGGTACTGCTGCAGGTGGAGGGCAGCATAGGACTGGTTGGGGTAGACGGGCCCATCGCGGTGGCGGGGAGGGAGGGCGTAGGGGTGAATGGGGTCGACTGAGTTGGCCCGCACTGTCACGTTGCTGGCCGTCGAAGCGCTCGAGAGGTCTCGCATGAAAGCCGGGCGGTCGGGGGGAGGTGCAGCGGCGGGCGCGGCCTCGTTGACGGTGGAGAGCGAGGCCTGCGAGGCGTGGGCGCTCGTGCTGGGCGAGGGGTTCGAAGACGCGGGCGTGTCGCGGGGGATGGGCGACGAGTATATTCGGAGGGGTTGTGGAGAGAAGTACGAGGGCTCTGGGTCGAGCGTGTGTATCTGCGATAAGAGGCTGGCGTTGAGGGCCTCTGGCACGGAAGGCACCTCAGAGCGGGGCGTGCAGTCGTTCTCGTCGTGCTGGTCTTGACTCGGCGGCGACGCGCCATGTTGCTGCTGCCCTTCTCTTTCTTCACCAGATGCCTCTGGTGCTTCTGGTGCCTCTGGTGCGTCCGCGGTCGGGGGGCACACAGTGGAGGCCGGCGACGAGTGCGCCTGGTCGTCCCGCACTTCCCCTTCCGCTGTCAGGCCCGCATTCGGGTCGACCATGGCAACCACAGCTTAGGACGTGTCAGCTCAGCAGAGGCGTGCAACCATGCCAGCCCGTCTACGGTTTGTCGAGGCGCACGTCGTGGGCGGATAGTCTCATGTCGCGCTGGGCTGGGCGGCGGCGGCGGTGTCACAGCGAGGGCAATGGCGTGGGTGCACTGGTGCTGTGAATCGACGTCGGGGTGAAGATGGTGGCAGTGGGCCGTGGTGGGCTCAACGGCTCGATATGGATTTGGTTGAGAGACACGATCGGCTCACTTGCGCTTTTCCCTCTGGGGCAGTGATGGGCGGGATAGTCAAGAGTATTTCGGGCCCCATAGATGACGCTCTGAAGCGGGAGAGACACGCCGGGGCTCGCAGCAAAAGGTGGAGACGCTATGTATCGCGCTGGGCATAGGCGAAGACGCAGATAAAGGCCGTCAGGGCAGACAACGAGGCGCTGCACGGCAAGAGGGCAATGGCACCGGCGACCAGAGGCCTACAATGCGCCCGGTGGAGCGATTTCTTGTTGAGCGAGCCACGAGCGATATGGGCAACTTTTTGTCTTGGGGGATCTGCCACTCGACGGCAGCGAGAGTATCACCTACATGGTGCTAGCATGCAGGTGACAAGAACGGGTATGGCTGCATGCACTAGTCCCTCCTGCCCTCAACAACAGGTGGCGTTCAGCTGTTCGAGGGTGTGGTTCGTTTGCAGCGCCCTCGTCCAAACTGCTCTGCGCAGCGCCATCAGCATGTGCCTGTGTCCTGATCCCAGCGGTGCGCGCGCATGGGTCGCCTCTGCCGCCTCCGGTTGCGTCGGCACCCGTCACTTGGGCCCATGCAGCAGCCATTAGATGAGGAAGCGCGATAAGCACCCTGGAGAAACTCTAAATCCCTCCCTGCAACATCTGCCATCATAGCACATGGCGACTGACGGACCCTCTCTAGCACAAGCCCTTCCCCAGATTTACCCTCGCTGAGCGTCAGGTACTCGCTTTGCTTCTTCGTTCCCGCTTCGATATCGCTCCAGGGCTGCCATGTCCAATCTCGCGCTATCGCTGCGTCACTGGCGCGCCCCGTATCGTCATTGTTGGGCCGGCACACACAGCCATCGTGCCACGAGCATCCAAGGGGGGGCAAACTGACGGCTGGCAACAATCCCATCCAGCGTCCTCGCGCCCTGCTGCCTTCCCCTCGCCATGCCACGATGGCGCTCCAGACCGCCTGCAGTCACCGGTAGATTATCAATCGTGACCTATCGTGAGATTGACCGGCCTCGTACGTGCAAAGTCGCACGGCGGTGCATGCTGCAGAGGGCCAGCGCAGATGAAGCCGAGTCTAGGCGCCGCCCGTCTCCTCAGCAATCATCGTGAAAGTCCTAATCCGGTAAGGCACGCAGCATCAATTTTCTGCACCGGGGCGCGCTTGAGCTTGGATGCATGACAAACGTGACTGCCTGTGCAGCGCGCCAAGGAGCTAGACCACCGGCTTCGCATCCTCACCTCTGCTGCGAATCTCATCTCACTCTGCTCGCCAACCATTGCCCCGGCCTCCCGCCTGTGCGAGTTGTTTCTTGCTCTATTACCCAATGCCGACCCGCACCAACGCTGCGAGGGACACGAATCCGAGCGGGACTGGTGCTCCACCACGCGCTCCGTCCAACAGCTATCGTGACTCGACGCTAAACATCTTCGCTCTGCTGCTTGCCTTCCGCATCGTCAACGCACTAACCCTGCGCTCCTTTTTCCAGCCCGACGAGTTCTTCCAGTCCCTCGAACCTGCATGGCAGCTTGCGTTTGGCCCCGCCAGTAATGCCTGGATCACCTGGGTAAATCCGCTCCAGAGTGCTCCAGTATCCCCAGTCCGCTCACCGTGGCCAGGAATGGAGATCCCAATTGCGGTCGTCCCTGCATCCAGCGCTATTCGCTGCCGTCTATCGAGTCGCGGCACATGTTGCTGACTTCTGTGGCTTGACCTTGCCTGCTAAAGCCGAACTACTCCTAGCTGCCCCGAAAGTTACCCAAGCCGTCTCTGCAGCCTTGCTTGATTGCTACACATGGAAACTTGCGGAAAAAGTCTACGGTCGTGGCAGTCGCACTGCCCTTACTACTGTACGCGACCATCCTGCAAATTTAGCACTGCAATCTCTGATATTTGATCCCACCTACTTCTAGCTTGCATTGTCTGTCTGCAGCCCGTGGCAGTGGTTCTGCGCGACCCGAACACTATCCAACTGTCTTGAGACTACCATCACTTCTGTCGCTATTTACTATTGGCCTTGGCAGGGTGCAGCAACAGCTAGCAAGGGTCAGACGCAAATTGCACACCACGACCTCGGCTCCCTCTCAGAGTAAGTCGTGGAATCAAAACACCCTTTGTCTGCTCCGCCACCACTTTAGGCTCATGCTCGTGCAGGTTGCGCCTGTCACTGCTGTTGGCAGCGCTTGCGTGTATTCTCCGGCCCACCAATGCACTCATCTGGCTGTCCGTATCCGTTCCAGCTCTATGGCAAGCCTCACATCGGCTGCGCTATGTGTTGGTCCGTGAGATCCTGATTTGCGGGTAAGCCTTCCCTCTCCTTGCATCCGCTGCACGTTTTTCGTCCCCATAGTGCAAGGCTCCATTGCCGGGCTCTGCGTTCTCTGCAGACTACCGTGCCCCGAGGTCACCAGACCATAATCCGACTGACGATGCTAGCTCCGCCGTCCTGGTATTGTCAGTCGCGACCGATCGGCTCTATTACAGGGTCTGGACTCTTCCGCCGCTTAGATTTCTCTATTTCAACATCGCTCAGTCGTTAGCCGTCTTCTACGGGAGGAACCGCGGCGACTACTATTTGACCGAAGGTTTGCCGTTGCTCCTCACGACATCGTCGCCATTTGCCGTTGTTGGCCTGTGGCAGTCGTTGAGGGGCTTAGAGCCACGTAGCCCAGCCAAAGGCGACAGCCCGGGTAATACAGCAGCTTCAGGTCAAGATACTGCGGGCAGTCAGATACTAAGCCGTCTGTCATGGACGGTGATCGTCATGACTGCTACGCTGAGTTTGATCTCGCACAAGGAAGTTCGCTTTCTGTACCCAGTCCTACCCTTCCTTCACATCATCGCCGCCAGGCCACTCAGCAAGTTTTTACCTCCTCGCGCTGCGCTATCGCACAAAGCAGTCGTCCTGTTCTTGCTTGCTGTAAACATCCTACTTGCAGGCTATGCCTCTCAAGTTCACCAGCGTGGAGTCATCGATGTACTCGCCTATCTCCGTCATAAACATGAAACGCGCAACAGCCTATTACACGTTCATGGCAATAGCGATAGTAACGTCGCTGCTGTGACCAATACAACAGTCGGCTTCCTCATGCCCTGCCACTCTACACCCTGGCGCTCCCACATCATCTACCCTGAAATCTCCGCATGGGCTTTGACGTGCGAGCCGCCCATCGACATACCGCTCTCGCAGCGCTCAACCTATCTCGACGAGGCGGATAAGTTCTACATCAAACCTGGCCCTGTAGCTTGGCTCCGAGCCAATATGGAAGATGTACAGACGATCAAGGCGAGTGGAAGTAGGTCTGGTCAGCATTGGATGCGCCAGGATCCAAAGTTCAAACGCAAGTACCGGCGTGAGTGGCCGCAAAACCTTGTTTTCTTTGAACAGTTGGAAGGGACGCTGAAGGAGTATCTTGAGGGCACTAGGTACCAGGAGTGTTGGAGGGGTTTCAACAGCCACTTCCATGATGACTCGAGGAGGACTGGTGATGTGGTTGTTTGGTGCTTAGATGGCGTGTGAGGCGCAGACTGCACTCTTGTATAACACTGTAGCATAATAACTCCAGTAGTAACATTATCTGTGGATCATCTAGATAATGTGACCCCCCATCAGTGCTCCTTTACATACCACGCAAGATGTCATCTCATCTGATCCTCGTCCTCAAAATACCCAGGTCAACTATCCAAGCCATCCAAGTGTCTTCGACTTATCCCTTCCTTCTCCCTGAGCCCAAAAGCCGCGTCGCGACGATTTCGTGACAACGAAACACGCCCAGTACCCAAGAACATCGAGCAGCAACTATCCCATCGCGAATTTGCGTAAACAGCCCAGAATGATGTTGAAACTCAAAGTCCACATCACGACATCCACACTCAGTAGATACCACAGTCAACCACCGCGTCAAGCCCCCCCCAAAACAATGACCTCATCAACCCTGCAGATCCACGACCCACAACCCAAAACCACACCTGGGGCAAACACTGCCCTGGATCCCAGCAGACCGGATACCCGTCCTTGTACCTGACGATGACGATGATTTGCCACAGCTGCACATGTAAGTCTAGAACACCATGATCGTCAGGGCAACGACAAAGGGTATCGGTCTGGACCTCAAAAGCGGTTCTGGGTACGGAGAAGAAGAAGAAGAAGCAATGTGATGATTAGTGCTGTGGCTAGGCGGGGACCCGAACCGGACCCTGACACTTGAGCGGAAGGGAAGGGAAAAAGGAAGACCACTGGGCATATGCATCGTGTTTTTGGGACCCGGGGGGAAGGTCGTTTGGGGAAAAGCAAGGTTATGAGGGGAAACGCAGGGCATGTCATGCAAAGGAAAAAGGTGAACAGGTCTAGAGCCTACATCGACGTTAGGTCACCTACTTTGCATGTTTCCCATGTTGAATGTAGGCTGCAGACCTATTCAGTATGTTTCCTAGCTGGACGTGGGGCTCGCAGGCTTCACGGTAGCAAAAAAAGATCGATGAAAAGTCTGGATTCAAGTGACTGGAGCTCCTCGTATGAGCCACACAGTTTGAGATGTATTGCATTTCGCGTAGTATGACATAGGGAATAGGTTCCTGATAAAACCGATGTTCTTTGTCGGCAGTTAACCCCCTTCTTCCGATAACAACAGGAACGAGTAATGTTCAAAAGTAAAAGCAACAGACTAACCCAATGCACAATGAAAGAAAACACATCTCGCTTGGAGATAGAGAGAAGCCATTTTCTCAGCCCCAATTAAAAGTATTCCGAGTTCAACGCCATGATCCCAATGCCCGTTGTTGATGATATGCTTCTTGAGCCTGGAACGCCGCGCTGAAACCTCAACTGAGCCGGCAAGTGATCCGGCATGCCCGATGCTCCCTTTCGAACGCCTAAGAATGCAATATGACCCAAGGAAAATATCAAGCCAAAGCGACTGCCTTTGCGCTGGTGCTTGAGCTGACTGAAGCCGGGGGTGTGGGTGGTGCAATATCGATCGCAGGCGCAACCCAGCCCTCCTTGCGAGCAATCCACATGACCAAATTGAGGTCAAAATTCTCGAAAAAGACCTCATCGAGGAAGCGAGCCTTTGCGCCGGCGTAGGTATGGTATTCCTCGCGAACTGTCTCTGGGTCGACGCCGAGGATCCTCCGGAAGCAGGCGATGGTGCATCCGGTGCGGTGTTTGCCCTTGTTGCAGTGGACGAGGATCGGGTGGTTGGTACGGTCCATGATGAGGCGCAGAGCTCGTGACATTTCGCACGATTCGACGCGCACTTCGCCTTTGTTGGCTTTGACGTGAACGTGGAAGTGCTGTATACCAGCCTCCTTCATGAAGTTTTGATACTCGGGTGAGAGTGGCTCAGGAACCAGGGTGAGGATGGTCTTGATTCCGGCTTCCTTAAGGTATTCGTAGTTCTCCTCCTTTGGATAGCTGCTACGATAGACGCACCCAGGGAGAACTGTGCCGTAGTTTGATGGAGGAGTAAGTGACTGTAGGCGTTCGGGTGCCGAACGGATAGAGACTGCCGGTGTGAGAGTGCCGTAAGACTCAGCTGTGCAGGTGATGGAACACTGGTGATCCTGAGGGTCTACGACGACCTTGAGATCCTCGTGCGTAGTCTCGCCGGCGTGCTGAATGAGCCCATCGCTTGCAGAGAGTCCGAGAGAGGCGACAAACTCCCTGATCCTTTCGAATACGCTTTCCTGAGCGTTCTGGTCCTGGCTAGGGGACATCGCGGAGTCTCCGTTTGACGAAGACATGTTGAAGCGCTGCGGAGCTTCGGGTTCGAGTATGGAGGGTATCAAAGGTATAGGTATGAGCTCAGCTTGTGTTGTACTCGGACGATTTGTCCTATACCCTTCACAGCGCGGATTTTCGGATGCTGAGGTGCTTGGTGGTAGGCCTTGCCGAGTGTGCTTGTGTGCGTTGAGGGTTTAGAAGTCTGACTTGGGAGGATGCTCGAAGACAAGAGACACGGGGGCAGAAGCCGACGCGGGCAGCCTATAACCTAATCAGCCAAATGCTCGTACGTTAGGAGGATAGCTCCGAATTCGCGAGCTATGGGTCGTCGCCGCTGTCACCCACGGATCCGGCGGTCGTGTCGAGCGCGCGGCGAATGGAAGGGCATGCATTGAAAATGCGGCAGTTCACACAGCGTTGACGACAGTGCAGCTTCCAAGGTTGCGTGAAAGGGTGAAACTTACTTCGCTGTTACCGGCTGGTTACAGGACACATCTTGCGAGCGTCTTGCGGTGATGCAAAGAGGCGTTGATGTTCATTGTGAGTGAGTGAGGTAGGTAGGGTGTACTGTGGGCGGAGTGGTGTGCGCAGTCGACGGATATTTGTGTGGTGATGGCTCGGGGCGGTAGCGAAGGATGTCAGCCGTAGTTCGCGGGGAGTGAGAAGTAGTGTGATTATAATGAAGGCTGGTGCCCAGGTGTTGTGGAAGAAATCGGGCGGGTCGCCCTAGCGCGCCTTTCACTGGTCCGAGCCAGATGCGTCGGAATCAATCCGCTGGCTTGGACCGCCGGTTCCAGGGTCCGCCAAGCGCCGTACGTCACTTGCCGCACCTTCCCAACGGTACTTTGGCTATGCAGGAACGCAGAGCATATAATTCATCGATAGCAATCTGTGGGCTGTGTGCTAGTTCAGTCTTCTGGTACCAGCAAACAGCGCGCGGACCCCGCACCAGTCTTGTCGTGCCTTGCCAAATGACGGCAAGCACAGAGCAAGCGCCAGTAGCACCTGGGCAGTGGGCAAGCTTCGCTAACTTCGCTTCTGTTCCAAGGCGAACCGCCCCGCTGCATGGCTCCGACCTGGGCGGCGCGTCTCAACACTGTCTCGCTCCCGTGCCTCAGCGACAGGCTTGATACTTTACAGCGCCGTTGATCTCGTCATCGCTCCACTCGCAACCTACGGAGCGGTGGGTCTCTAGTGCTTGGGTGAACCACGACGTGTTCGCCAGAACCGCGCGGAAGAATCGGCACAGAAGAGACGCCAATAACACAGTAAGCGCATCAAAGCATTACTGTAGACGGCAAATGCCAGTAGGCGAAGCTTATGGGCTGTGTTCCCAGAGCAAACCGACTATCCGAATACAACGATATCATACTTCGCCTTTGCCCAGCTTCTATGCCATCATCAAGGCAATATTCATAGCCGTTCATCCCGAGTTCTCCTGCTGTCCGAGTCTTGTGGCCGCTTCCTCATCATTGCAACCACGTAGCTAGGGCCTGGACGCTGAGTGGAACTTGGCAGAAAGTATCTCGAAATCTCTATGACGACTCCGCGACATTCCGTAGACATCGGCGTATTCGAAGGGGTCAACCGCAGACCGCAGTCGGAGTTCGCGGCACGATTTCGTGAAATTTCTCTGAGTTGAATATTTCAAAGTTCCATCGCACCACTTTCACGTGAAGACTCTCGTGATCGGCAGCTAACCATGAGAGGCTAAGCCTCATTTCCCCAGAGTCTGTGCGTCTGACCTGCTGGACCTCGGTCACTCCACCAAATACAGTAAACATCGTGACGTTTCTCACATCCTCAGCGTATCCCAGTGGCCCCACGTTCTCCAATTGAGCATCATGGAGGCTCCACGCGCGACATCCCGATCGCGTCGCTCCTACCCGAACCTCCACAATCTCTCCATAGCCCCGCTCAGCGCCAAATACCCTCTCGATGCATCCGTACCACCTTCGCCCGACGAGCAAGACACGCGCACTCCTCGGACGTCGTACATCGCGCAAAAGTCGGCACCTACAACGCCAGGTGTTCTAAGCCTCAGTCAGAGCCGCAGCAGTTCACGGCAGCGCCCGAAGAAAGCCTACGCATACGACAGCTACTTCGTCAACCCCCGTGCCGAAGTTCGCGACGTCGGCGACATTCCAAAAGCAAAGAGTACCAGTGTCCTGCATCCCGGCGTCAGCTTTGCCGACGAAGTGCTCAGGGTAGATGATGGGAAAAAGAGACATCATTCGAGGAAAGGCACAGCGCCTCTACCTCTACACTCACCACTCGTAAAGCATCACACCAAGGAGTCAAATGAAGAGTGGCTGCACCGCGCTGGCTTGGCAATAGCTGGCGAGACGAGGGATAGCAAGGGTCAGGGTTGGCTTGTGAGACGAGAGAGCTCCACCAGTCTAGTCGGACAAGGTGACGAGTACGAGAAACACTCTTCGCATGAGGATAGGCCCATGGCTCTACTTTCTGGCGAGCATGTCGGTGACGCGGACTTTCCTGTGTTCTTCTCCCCGCGCATGTCCAGGGTGGGGAGTCGTATCCCCAGTCGCGTAGGCTCCCGCGTACCCAGCGCACGGCAGAGTCGACGGGGCAGCAGAGTAGGCAGTCGGGCCGATCTCATGATGTCTGCCGGATCGAAACCGCAGTCAGGAAGAGCCAGCTTCGAGATCTCTGAGCTAGATGAACGCTTCATTGAGCCTGACTTTATCGAAGCAGACGAAGAAAGCGATGGCGATGAGGAAGAAGTCGCTCGCTTGGCGCGCGAACGCGGGTTCGGGCTTGGAGGTTGGATGGATCGTCTCATCGGATGGACACTGTTCTCTGTCGACGAGGACAGAGAAGCGTCTGATGAGGATGATGCGGAAGATGATAGAAGCTTGCGACTAGACAATCTTACCACGGAGGAGCTGAAGTTACGCCGCGAAGTTGAAGCCAAGCGACGTAAGCTTGAACGAGAAGCCATCGTTGCTGCGTCTGCTCTGCGGAGACAAGAAGGCGATGCGACAACTACAGATACGGAGAGCCGCCCAACAACCGGGGACTCGCAACGTACGATGGCCAATGAAGAGGTCGGCGGTTGGCAAGATGCTGCGTGGCTACTGAGCGTTGCTTCGAAAGCTTTGTTCTGATCACAGTAATCAAAAAGTCAACAATTATACCCAAACTACTGAACTCGGCAGTTATACCAGCAATTGGATTCCCTCGTAATTGCAACTTGCTGCTACAAAATACTAGTTCACAGCGCTTATGTCTTCGGCGCTCAGTGCTTCTCAATTACTTCTTCACCCTCCCCATCTCGCTATTTTCTACTGCATCCTCAATCCCAGATCTACCTCACCTTGCCCGTCCGACATACTAGGTGGTCTATCCTCCTTCTTCGTACCCCAATCACTCTCCGTATCTCCCAGCACAAGCTCCAGCGTCCACCCTTGCGTGAAGAACTCGTGCCCAATCCAGTTCTTCGTGTACACCTCGCCATTCAGCTTAGCGCTCTGAATATAAATGTTCTTGTACTCCTTGTCGAAATTAGTATTACGAATAGTGGCAGTAGCATTCGTGAGCTTGTTAGCTATGGAAACAGTGGGGAAGAAAGGCGGAATGATGAAATAGACGTTCTGGCCCGGATTTGGAAATAAGCCAAGCATGCTGAAGAGTGCGAAAGAGGCCATGCTCCCTGAGTCGTCGTTGCCTGGAATGCCGCCGGGTGTAGCGTTGAACCGTGACGGAATATCTACATCTGATGTCAGCAAACACATTCAAACCGGACACTTCCTTGATATTTAGTGCGATAAGACTTACAGTAATGTGCCCTTTCCGCACTCAATCCAGGTCTTCCTGCAAAATGAGATAGATACACTGTCAGGAAGACTGGCTCGTTTCCTATGTCCGCTAAGCCGCTGGTATGGAAGAAATCCAGTCTGCGCACAAACGTCTCGTCGCCCCCGAGTAGCTCGATGAGTTTCCCAATATCGTGCGGAACGAAGAATATGTACTCCCAAACACTGCTCTCAAATGTCTCGGACGGATTCGACGTCAATGAACAAAAGTCAGTCAACGGGCTGCAGGCAATGGGGTCTTGGAAGCCCCATGTTCCGTTTAAGTTCCTGGGTTGGAAGAAGCCCGTGAAGCCAGTGTCTGTACCGTTGATTGAGGAGGTTTGGTCGGATTTGAAGAGGTTGCGCCAGTTTGTTGCGCGGGAGAAGTACTTTTCCGTCGTGTTTTTACCGAGGCCTTTTGCCAAAGTAGCGAGGTTAAAGTCGTTGTAAGCATATTCCAGAGATCGCGATATACTCCTTGAGTTTGTACCAAAGCCGTAAGGGTCAAAGTCCGACACTGGGATATAGTTTAACGATTTCCAACTCGTGAGGCCGCCACGTCCCTCTTGACTCCATTCCAATGGCTCGTTTTCGGCGTCATTGACGATGGCTTCATAGGCGAGTTCCCAGTCTATGCCTGTGATGTTCTTGACGTACGCATCGACTAGGACGTTGTCGGCGTTGGAGCCGCCCTGTGTCCAGCCTTTGCAGGTGCTCATCATGCAGTCTGGTAGCCATCCACGATGCTTATACGTATCAAGAAGACTTCGTACTAAACTGGACATGATCGACGGCTCCAACACAGTGAGAAAAGGTAGTTGCACGCGCCACATATCCCAGAGACAGTAGAAGCTGTCAAAGTACGGCTCATCGCTCTGCCAGTGCGGGTTCTCACCAGTGTAGTTCTGAGGAGATATCATCGTACGATAAATAGCGCTCCAGAAGCTGGTCTGTATGCTCTCGTCCACTTCTCCAGTTTCGATGGTAATCGGAGCGAGCTTCTCACGCCAGGCTTCCTCGGCTGACGTGACAAGTCCGTCAAAGTCGAAGGTGGGCCCCGGAATTTCCTTCTCGGCATTTTGGCAGGCTTGATCAGTACTGATGAAACTCAATCCCATCCTTGCTAGCACCGGTCCTGAGAGCGGGCCGTTCAATCGGATGAATCCACCAGCTTGGACGTAGAACAAGTTGAAGCCGCGCGTCACGTAAAGTTCTTTTGGTTGCTCGCCGGCTCTGTCGTTGACCCATACTCCAGAGTTCTTGACAGTTCCTCCAGAAACATCGAGGCAAAAGTATGCCATATAAGACCCCGCGCCGAAGCTGGGTAAAAAGGTGGCGTTCCCTCTCATTCTACCCGATTGTTGGCCGGCATCGGCTTCGATGGTAATAGAAGCGTTTTGCCGACTCGCCCATAAGTCTGTCAGATCAAGCATGATGAGAGGATCGTTGCTTCCATTTCCATGAGATGCTGTGGAAAAGTCGAAGCGAAAGAGCGCAGCATGTTCTGAAACGGCCATATCAGCGTGTATGCCGTTTTCCAGTGTTACTCCAAAGTAGCCGGGTCGTGCCTTGATTGAATTGTTTCGATAAGGTGTTGCGCGTGCTGTGATTGGAAACTTGCATGTGTTGATGTCATCGCCAGAGCACATCTGCGGAAAGATGGGGAAGTTGCCTAAGCTTGGGTTTCCTCCTGTTCCAGAGTCATGTAAAGCTGAGAAGCCGGTGATGTTGCTGCCGTCCGTGGAAAATCCCCCAGTATTCGCACCGTCTACATCCGCAACGGCTGCAAAGTTTTAGCAGTAAGCTATCAATGTTGCGCCCCTGTAGCCGACCTTTTGCCATGCCATATGGTAGTGTTGCGCCTGCGAAGACGTTTCCCCCATCTCTACTACCGATCAATGGGTCGACCCATTTTAAAGGATCGAAGTCGGCGGTTTGCTGCGCCTGTGTTCCTATTTTCGTCGACAGCGCTGCAAGCTGTGTAAAGGTCCAGACATAACGGCATAGCCTTTTCATTTTGAGATACAGGCTCAATTCTCGTGCCTGTGAATTTATACCAAATTTATCGAGGCGCGTATTATTGTGGGTGATTGGATCGGTCGCTTCGTAGACAGGTCGATGGCACGTGTGATTGCGTCTACAGTTCAAGGTAGGGGGCACTGGCCACTCAGCGAACGCAACTCACGCAAGAATGATCGATCAAACGTGCGAGTCGCGACTCTATTAAGTCAATTTAAGTACCACATGGCGAGTTGACTTGCGTCGGGGTGATCGCAGCTCAACACTGTCCTAGTGGGGTTTATTGCGGGGTAAAGCAACCGACCGTCTGGTACTGCAACCTTAACTGCAGCGTAGGTAGCATCTAATAATCAGTGTGAATGCCTGCGAAGCGCGAGCGACAGGACATGAAGTTGAAGGTCTGAGTCCACGTTCAGCCTTGCACAGCTATCTCGCCGTAGCGTCTCGTCTTGTCGCAGGCCAAGATGGCGCCCAGTCCTGCCTACCCCACAACCGGCTCCTTGTGCTGCTGTGGAACATGTGACCCTGCCGCAAAACCTTATGCAGCGGTACGGAAAGCGCGAAGGAATTCCGGTGGTCATGCATCAAACCAAGGCCATTGACCCGAAATGGAACCACCGACAGAGGGAAGATCGTCCCGATCGATAGGTATGCCCTGTGCAGCACTTACGCAGTGCCGGGAGTCCAACGAAGTTTAGGTGCTTACTATGAGCTGCTCTGTTCGATGATTGGCATGGATCTCCACGATCGGAGTGCTGGCCTAGCACGGGTACACGACCCGACCAGTCGGAGATCTCATGGGAAGAACAGGCGCACGTGTGCCTTCCATTAAGACTGGCTCTCCCAACTTTCCTTTCCCGTGAGAGTTCCAAGCCCATAACCCACGCGCCCTCAACAATGGAGCACAGTTTGGAGCCTAATCTCACCCATCGTTCCGCTCCAGATTTCTGCCGCGTATGATTTGCACCGTCTCGGATCGGTCCTGCAATACGGCGACGTCGTGGTCATCGTCCACGTTTGCTGTGAGGATGACGTGAGTCTGCGCAGTCTCCCATCCAGTAAAGACAAGCGCCTCGTGAGTTCCCGGTGCATCGCATCGCCAGCCGTGTGCTACTTTGAACGTGTGGTTGCCTCGGAGCTGTTGCGCATAGCTTGTGACAGCCCTTTCAAGATCCTCGACGCATTCTTCCTTGAAACGAAGTCTCTCTATTGCCAATATGGGTGCCTCTAAAGGAAGCAAATGCATGCCATCTAGTTCCACATGGACGGTCCAACAAAATTGGAGCATATCTTCTTGGGGGCCGAGAACCTCGTCCCGCGCTGGAGAATCTAGGAACTTCAAGTGTGCTTCCAAATTTGGCCATATGCCCAAAATGTAGATCAACTTGGGGTCCTCGATGCAGTTGTAAAACTGTGAGCTTGTGTGCAGTTTCTCTCGCACGGCTGATAGGTTCTCAAGCAATGCTGGATCGTCGGCGGCAACATTCCTGAGACGCAATTGGGTTATTTCGAGAACCGCCATGCTTCACCAGAATTGTGAAGAACTGAGAACTCGTATCGTGGACTAGAATAGTGCTGTAGAGCGGATGTGTATGAACACAGTGGTGATGATGGACGGGGAGAACCTGGAACACGGCCGGACGGTGACTGGGGTAAGTTAGCGCCTTGGCATTCCACCCCTACGCCGCGCAGCGATTGAGATTGAGGCCAGTCAGCGGCTACTTCGACACTCTCGCTGCCTGAACATCATCTGTGCCTGGTACGCCTCGCAGGCTTGAGACGGTAATGTTGCGCGAAATCTCCCAGCCTCGGTCGATCGAAGGGATCCTAATGGTGTTTGCGGAAACTTCGCATGACCTCGCAGTGCGCCCATCGACCACCGTGGCCACGACGTTACATCACAGCATTCTCTGAAATAGTTGCATGCAAGTACAACTATTATTAAAGAGCTCTCTGGTACATGGGCTCTTGGTGAGTCAAAGGCGACGCCATGTGCACTTCTGCGCCCTTCCAGCAACCCATCTTCTGGACGCCGCCAGTGTCAAGGCAACCTATCGGCGCACATCTTCCTCTTGGCGATGCTTGTCGCTATCTCGTAATGCAAAAATAGCCTGTCAAACAGCTGCAGGCAACAGTGAAAGCTAGACGTCCCATGCTATCGATGGTTCGTGATACAGCGACGTCATTGCGACAGAGCCGGCATCACCGGAATGTGCTTGGGATCATCTCGAGGAAGGTATGTCACGATTATGAGTTGGACTCGCAAAGTAGGCCTGAAGCGGTTGCAAGGCATCGATGCTCTGCCGGTTGATGCATATCAGCAGCACAGCCCTTAGGACCACCAGGCGCCCTCCAACGGTATGGCTGCATACCGGTGAGCTGGCTAGTAACCGGAGACATCTAGAGCTTCACCATGCTAAACCGTTTTGGGGACTTTGATTATCAGAGCCCTAGGCGAAACCGCGATCTTATTAGTTGGCCGTTTGTTTTACAGTATAGTGCTGTAAGCCCGCCACAGTTCAGCCGTAAACCTGGCGTCCCCTGATTAACGGACCACCCACACCCGCGGGGTCGCTTCATACTTCCCGCTCTCGGCCCCCAAAGCTGTGCAGTCCACATCTTTAGAGACACAGGATACCGCATACAGCAGAGTATATATCGCCACAGGGGAAGCGAACCCGCAGATCGCAGAATCCTTCTCATACTTTTGATATCAATGCCGTCTCCACAGGATCACGGTACTGTAGTCGAGAGCTCTTCGAGTGATTCACCGACTTTTTCGGACAGTGGAATTGGGAGTGCGCCACCGATGCCTCGCAGACCTATTCCGAGGAAAGGACATACCAAATCCCGCCGCGGTTGTTTCAACTGCAAGAAAAGGTACTCTAACGATGTTCAGGCGTTTTTAATGCTCAAGTATCCTAATCAGAGCATAGAAGGATCAAATGTAACGAGAGACATCCTGAGTGCCACCATTGTACCAAGGCGGGATTGCAGTGCGAGTATCCAGCAAATATTATTCAAGCAATGCAACGTCTTCCTACTTCACCGCACCCTCAAGAGGGGGGCAACCTGGGATCGACGCCAGGCGTCTTCGTAAGTATGCTTCAAGCGTGCTTTGAATGGTATAGTGACTTACGATCATAGTCCATGGCAGACATGCGTTTATTTCATCATTTCCTCATCACGGCCTACCCGCATCTCCCGGTCGGAGCCGACAAGATCTGGATCACTTCGATTCCCGGCTTTGCACATAACGTATGTATCTTCATCAGAGCCCGGAAAACATGAAAGAAGCTTGTTGGCTATGCACAACCGTAAAAAGGGGTGCTAACTATTGTAGTACGAGTATCTTATGCATTCCATCTTGGCGCTGGCTGCGTCACATCTGGACGCTGTAACGCATTCGGGTGTTGCAGAACAAGCCATACAGCACCGAATCCTCGCTGTCAAATCCCTTAACGAAGCGCTCTCGGTACCCCCAACGACCGCCTGCGAGCGAGATGCGAGAATGGCCGCGGCTTTGGTACTTGCTTTCCAATCAAGTCACTTGCAGGACGGCATGGCAGAATTCATGACGATGGTCCGTGGGTGCAACCTGATTGCAGGCAACAACATGATGTTCATCGCCGACTCAGTCTTCAACGTATGTACAGGGATCTGTGTACGAAATTAAAGACTCACACTGACCCCCTCCAGGCATTCTGCGCGGATTCCCATCTTGAGAGAATGCAGGAGCGGGTCGGAACATCGAGGGTGAGCTGCTTCAACCGCGAAGATCTCGACATGGCATCATTATCCCTCGACCTTGTTCAAACCTTGAACATGTCCGAGTGTGAGCGGTCATACTGGGAGTTGCTCGTATGCACAATCACCCATGCGTATGACCGCCCACCAGAGACATATCAAACCTTTGTCATGCTCTACAACACACCGTCCAAGTGGACGCATGATGAGTTCCAAGCCTTCATCGATCCCAACAACAGTGTTGCGCAGATACTACTGGCTCATTTCATTGCGGTCCAAGCTATCCTTACACCAATCCTCTACCTCGAAAGAGTGGGCTTTGAGGGCGTACATGCCCCTACTGCCGTGCTGAGCTGGATCGAAGGAATATACTGGAACATACCGTGTCGCATGAGGCATCATGTGGAGTGGCCCAGACAAGTGTCGCGGTATCCTTATACTCGGTTCATCGGACAGAAGGAGGTGGAATATTGCGATGTAGACCCCCTTCTCATTTGACATCGTCGGCAAGTTACACTTTTATTGGACTCTTTTCGTTACGCACTATCCAGCCCGTGTATTATCCAGGAACAACGGCCTTCATGTACTACTAAGATACCCGCGATCGCTTTGTAGCTTCTACTCGCAATTCATTTCACTTATCGCAAGTTTACATTCTCATTGAACACGAAGAAATCGATGTTACCAAGACCTGGATAACACATCTGCTTTCTGGCATACTTCCAGCCTACACAATACTTCGCAAGGCATTCACAACACCTTCCCCTTTTCTAAACACTATCTACAAACCTCACAAACATCTTCATCCTCCATCGTCATATGCTCATGATAATCTCTCTGCTCACACATCTCAAAAAACGCATGACCAATACCAATTCTCGCATATCTATCCGTAACCGCCTTCCAAAACGCGGTTGGAATTTTCTCCGCCATCTCATCTTCCAAGTGCATACCAGGGGTCGCGTTATGATCTTCTCCCGGTCTGTATTTGTCGCAGTGATAGTCCACCAGTAAACGCCTCAAGCGGTCGGAGGCTTCGGTGTGAGAATGAAGCTTTGTATACGCGAAAATGACGGTTGGGTAGTAGGGGGTAATTCCTGTTGCGAATGCCTTGTCGACGAACGCGTTCCCCACAGCTTCTGCGAATAAGGGGATCAGGTATTGACCTGCAAATTCCAGGCATTGGGCTACGAGCAGGCAGTCCCATTCGGAGGGTTGTGGTAGTTTTTGAGTATACATCCAGTCGATGAAGATTTCGAAGACTTCAAGCTCTACCTTTTCGAGACATATTTGAGTACCGCGCGTCAGGTGTAGCTTGAAGACGGTGGAGTAGTGCGAGAGATAGTCGGTGTGGAGCAGGTATAGCTTTTGCTCGGTTCCAATCTTGACTAAGACAGTACCATATTTGCCTTGGCGTGCGATTTTACTATTTCCCAAGTCAGCCGGCGGTACTTAGATACAGATAGGGGAGTTTCATTACCTCATCCGGGGTGGCTGTATATCTGCCTCTGCAGGACGCTTTAGGGCCTGTGACTGTGGCGGTTGATTGGCGGAGGCCATGACGAAGATCTTTGACTTGTTGTAGGCAAGGGGTCAGGATGCAGAACTTGTAATGTATGTTAAGAGCAAAGGAATGAAATCTTAATTTATTGCTGCAAAATTTGCGTGCGTTCGCTGCGCAATGATGTTGGACCACTGGCTAACCAAGGTATCTTGGGCTTGGGACCAGATTATGACAAGAGTCTGAGGATTGCGATCTTTCTCATTTGATGAGGAGTACCTTTTACGTATGTGGTGGTTATGTATTTCGGGAGTCGTGAGTGGCTCGTCTCGCTCTGCGTCACCGCAGTACCATGGATGGGACCAGATTATGAGAAGTTCGGCCAATAGGAAAGCTGTGGTTTGTATTCGCGAGTAGTATAGTAATACACAATATTATTTTATACGGTCCTTCAAAGCGTTTGCGTCATGTACTCTTGCGATAGCGTTGCTGTGTAGTTCCCAAAAGAATGTAGTGCAGTGTATACCAGGCCTGTGTACCGTGCCTCGATCGAAATCGGACCCCATCTGCCATCACACCCATCCAGTACTCTCCCAAATCACTGCGACATACTCCCGAACCATTTCCTCATCAAGCTCTTCCTCCCCTTCTTCAACTCATCAACCTCCTCTTCCACTACGACAACCTCCTCCAGCCTACCCACCCATTTCGCAGGCCCCCGCTCTCTGACAGCTCTTTCCTGTGCTCTGAGCCAATAGTCCTGCTCCATATTACGATCGTTACAGGCATTGGTGTACCACTCATGCCACTCCTGATGGTCCCAACCACACCTGCTCCCCCACTTCTCTTTAACCTTCTTCGCGAAGCCCTCAACCTCCGTCTGCGCGCACGCCGAGCAAAGCGTCTCCTGCGGCAGGAACGAGGTACCAGAAAACGGTGTGCGGTAGTAAATGTAATGGTTCGAGTAAGGTGTGTAATACGCCTTGCAGTGTGAAGACGTGCAAGGACGGAGTGTGTACCGCCAATCCCATACTTCTTCCTGAACCCCATATTTCGCTCTTGCATCATTGCTTTTGGCGTTTAGGGGCACGGGAGGGGCGCCCAACACTCTTTGCTTGTGCTCTCGTACTAGTGCCGCGTCTTTGCTTCTGCGATCTCGGCGGAAGGTCTCTTTGAAGGTCTCGAACTCGGAGGCTATGACGTTGAGGGTCTTGCGTCCGGCGCTCTGGCGTAATGTCTCGTAGGCTTGCTTGCAGGCTGTGTTGGCTTCTTTC